TCAGATGTCCTTGATATTCAAGATATTTCTTGAGTCCAGGTAGTCCTCAACTTATGACTGGTCGCTTAGTAACCATTCAAAGTTATGACAGACCCCTCAAAAGGTCTTTCAACCCAGTTCCAATGGACCCATTCCTGCCTACAGTCACATGACCACATTTTGGGTGCTGGGCAATGAGCCCACAATTTTGGCTGTTTATAGTGTCCCATGGTCATATGACCTTGATTTACTATATTTTTGCTGAAAAATGTTTACTTCTGGTGTTTGGCAAAAGCACTGTAGGAAATGACCAAGCTGACACCAAGGGAGGGGTCAAGCACATCATCAGTTTGGAGTCCGTTCAAGTCCACAAGAGATCTGAGTTCAGCCCTGCTTGAATTCTGTTGTCTCTTATCTAACACCAATTGGCCTTAGCCATTGGTAGTTCAGATTCTTGTAGAGGTATCATAGAATAAATTTGTACTTCTTTGAATAACTCTGGTTCCGATTTCTTGCATGGTTAAATGAACAATGGGTTCACTTAAGAGTCACTGCAAACAAAAGGTCATAAAATTGGGCAGGTCACATGATGATCTGTTTTACTATTGACGTGACTTACAAGTGTAATGGGTAGGCTCCATTAGAGTTGTAAGTTAAGGATTAGCTGTACACGATTCTGCTCATCTTCATACTGGTACATAAAACTATAAAGTGCACTGCCTTCTTGCTTCTGGAAATTGTAATGCAGTTAAGAGAAAGAGCAACAGCATTTACACTTACATGCTGCTCCATAGTGCTTTACAGCACTCTCTGAGCAGTTTACAAATATCAGCATATTGCCCCCAACAATCTGGCTCCTCATTTTACTGATCTTGGAAGGATGGAAGGTTGAGTCAACCTTGAGTCTGTCAGAATCAATCTCCTGGCTGTGGGCAGAGTTAGCCAGCAATACTGCATTATAACTAGTGCGCCACCACTGCTCTTGGAGAGCATGTAAGCATGCCACTTGTTAGGAAGAAAAAAATGCACTATGCCAAGTGTTTCTATGCTGATAGCCTCCAAATACATTGTATACCAACTACACCACGCAAAATTCCACATCACTAGGCCATATTGGCTGGGAATTCTGGGTTTGAAATCCATCATATCTGGAGGCTTCAGTAAGCAAAGTTTGAATTGTGTGATGTAGTCAATAACTTTTGGGCATGGACCTCTGCAGAAATTCTCTTAGGTAGACCTCTGTTTTATAGGAAGAGGTGCTATCCTGAACCCTTTTTCTTCCCTGTTTTATAACAATTTATATTACAGGGGTACTTAAGTTTGTGAACATTTTTGAATTTTCAATATTTCTGCATAAATATTAAATTAAATATTAAATTAAATAAATAAATTCAAAACATTATTCTTGTTCAAGAAATGATACAAATTCAAATGAGTTTACAAACTTTTAAGGATTACTGTATTAGTTGCTTTTATCAAGGTTCTCATTTTTTTCTGTTTTAAACACAGTATTGGTTAAATTACTATTAGCTTCATATCTCTCCTATTTATTTTTTACATTCTGTGGAATCCTGACTGTCTCTTTCTTTTATTTTACCACTCTTACTACCAGAATTTTTAATGTAACAGCAACGTATGGCCTGGATTCCTAATTTGGTGCTATTAGTTTGCCTCCTTTTATGAAACATTTCAAATTGCTACCTGTTCCTTAGTTACATGCTTTCTGGATTGCAAAATTAGCTGTCATTAATGGTGTACGTGATTCCCAAGAGCAGTCCGTAAACAATTTTGTCAACTTTTTAAAAATTAAATACAATAGTATAGAACAGAAACCTCAAAGATAATTCAAATTAAATAAATAAGGATAAACTGTAGTTCATTTTATAAGCAAGACCAAAAATAAAGTGCAAATGGAATTTGTTTGTGATATGTTTCTCAGTTTGGCAAGTTTATTGTAAATATTTCCACTAGATTTTTTTAGCTGCAAAGCAAAAATAAGAACTTCTTGACATTGTACTAGCATAGCAGTTAGTGATCCAATCTAAAAAGGTTATTTTTTCATGTAGTGGATGGCAACCTGACAGCAGTTTAAGCTGTTCTGGGAATTATCTACATTAAATATCCCATTCTTCTGTGCTAAAGTTACAAAGGACCAAAGAAAATGTTTGGCGATTTGGGCTTCTTATCTGAGACTTTGTAGGTAAACAGATAATCCCCTTTTAAAAAGAAAACACATGAATTATACAGTTTTTCCTGATTATTAAAATATGATGTAATTGGGTTAACTCTTCCAGTTTATGTTGAAGGGATTAATGCAAAAAACAATTTCATGATTGTTGAAGTTGAGATTCACAACAATATTGAGCAGAGTATTTGTAATAATACCACTAATCTGAATTTCTTCTTCTTCGTCTGTGCCTTCTATCATTCTGATTGGTGTATCTAGAGCAGAGGTGTCAAATTGGCGGCCCATGGGCCGGATGCGTTATATGTTATGTGACGTGATCTAGAGCTCTCCTGCCTTCTTTTTAAATCAAGCTATTTTTTCCATTGTCCATTGAGTTTCCTGAATTTCTTGAACTTTCCTAATTTCAAACCATCTATTTTTTCACTAACATCTGGGCTTTCTTTTAACTTTTACAATTAATGGAAGATATCTGACCAAACTCCATTAATTTCATCATAATCTATCATAGATTTAAATATTGTAAAGGACTGTGTCACTTCAGAATTCTGCATGCTGTCAAACAAAGCCAGCATGTTGATGACCAACACTATCCCATAATTTATTTATTTTGCTCATTCATCATGACTTAGTCTTATGTGCCGATTCGATCCCTGTGGTCTATTCAAATTATGATTAGAAATCCTGGTGTTACCATGTTATATATTGTATGTAGCAGATAGGTTAATAGTTTACTAAGTAGATTCAGCATGAACAGATAAAAACCAACAAAAATCCAGAACTTCTTCTGCAAAGTGTTCTGGCTTGGTTGTTTTGCATTGTTTCTATATGTTTTTTTTTTTTAAAAAAAAATGGCGTAGGGAAGAAAACACTGATATCAGCATTTTAAAAGAATGTACCCAAACTCATTCCTACAAAGACTCCCTATATAAAATATTACACATGAATACATACCTTTGAAATGTTACCTAATGGCATCAGGAAGGGGCTGGCTAAATTTTACACATTCACATACTGAGAGGATGGAAGCAACTGCAACATATCCAGAAGCAGTAACTTAATTATACAGGATCACTGTGAGGCTTGATCAGGTTCTAAAGCATAAATCAATGCATTTTGTGCATCATCCAACATCTCTAGATGGCTGCAGTAAAAGGGGAAGAGGGAGCATGCAAACAGTGCTTCCGGTAAATCAGTTTTATGCCAGAATATCTGACATGTAGCCATGTGCTAAAGAAATCTCTTGACCTAAGCCTTAGAGCCATTTTAGTTGTTTGCACCGGATATGCCACCAAATTACTATTTAACATGATGATTGCATGTGGCCAAGAAATCATAGTATTACCCAAAGCCCCAAATTGGAATGTAAATTATGAAGATAATTTAAATCATCTTCCCAATGCAGAGCCACAGTGACGGCCAACTGCAAGTTTCATGGGAAGCCAGATACAAATAATTTTTGTGACATAAAGTTAGAAAAGATAGCAACTTTTTGTTGAAAACTAAAAATTGAAAACTTCCAGTTGAAAACTGACAGCAGATTAATTGGCAATGCTCATTAATGAGGTAGTTGTTTATACAAGGTGGGAAAGATTCTCCAACACAAATAGTCTACATTCAGGCTAGATATATTCTGCACTGTATTGTATTGCATTGCATTGCATTGTGTTTTACTTAGGCACCACCCAATTGGAAACCACTCTGGGAGGTTCTCAGCACAAAAACAAATCACAAATCTACATAACAATAAACAGTAACAAGATATCAGAAACTGGTCAATGTCTTACACATGCCCTATGCTTGAGGGGCTCCAACTATTTTAGTTCAGTGCCTGAGATAATAATATATCTTAATTCAGAACATTTTGGTTTTTTAGTGATGCACCATAACTGAGAATAGTTTTTATATATCATTCTCCATTTTGTTTTTCTAGCTACCTTTCTCTCTCCAAACTCTTATTCCTTGTATTTTGTTTATATGTCATTTTGGTTTTGGCCACAGAAATTCTATTTCTCTGTTTGGTTCTAAGATTTAAATATCAAAGTTGTTTCAGAGAATGATTTTTCCCCTTCAGGGTACTTATTATCTTGTATATTTGTGTTAGTAATCAAGGTCTAGCGCTTGTCATTCAAAAGCCACCCACTGTACTGGACGTGTTTATTTTATATTCAGTTTTGTGCTGAAGGGACCAAAAATTGCCAGCAAGTTACTGGGTTGCAACATATAGACATTTTGCTATTGTGCCTCCTTTTTAAAGGTCAGTGTCATCCTTCACTGGATGGAAAGCATAATTTCAAAATGTTATCTCCATTAGCCTTGATTCATTGTCCTCAAGCTGTAAGTAGAGGATTTGTTATCTCCTTCTGGGGCCTTGGTTTTATTTGTGTTTTTAGTATTCACAACATATCAACTTGGTAACCTTCTTTGGGCTAGAGAAAGGGGTCTCATCATAAATAACTGTATGGCAGGCTGTTTCCCTCATGTAAAACTTAGCCTCTGATAAAATAGGCTAACGTGCTTAGAAATTCTCTTTTCAAAACTGGAAGTTTATTTACTTTCTGGAATATAAAACACATGATTATCAAGACTTATGATGTCCTCGAATGCTAGATTACATGGGTCATGCAGCTTGTTTATTTTTCCAGTGAAAGGTAATAGACATTTTCAGTTCTCATAATGAGAACCTTTTCAGCAATAAAACTTGTTACTTGCCATAAAGTTAACTGGTTATTATGGGTCATCAGTTAACATGTTTATTGTTTATTTCTGCTTTGTTTGTTTTTTATTCTTTTCAGCTGCTACATACTTGTATTGAAGGTTGGGGAAACTGGCGGTGGTCTGAGCCATTTAGTGTAGATAATGCAGGAACATTTATCAGAACTATTCAGTATAAGGGAAGGACAGCTTCGCTTATTATCAAGATTCAGCAGCTCAGTGGAATACAAAAACAAGTAAGTAAAAAAAAAGAAGGTTTGCATGCAATACATGAGCATTTCTAGATAGGATTCTTTTCCCATCATATTGTCTAGGGAAGCTGTTAGTCATAATCATGCTTATGTAATCATGTAATAACCACAATAGCGACAGATGCTTTCATGCTTTCAGTTCAGACGTAATCGTGAAGCGTCTTCTTCTCTTATCATCCTTTTTCTCTTTCTGTGAGTGGTTTAATAAAGGCATTGATTCTGAAAACAAGAATCATAGTAAACCACAGGAAATCTATCAGTTGTGGCAGGTTCAGATTATTCATTAGGACCACTGGTAGTTCTCGACTTACAACCATAACTGAGCCCCAAATTTCTGTTGCTAAGTAAGACATTTGTTAAGTGAGTTTTGCCTCATTTTATGACTTTTCTTGCCACAGTTTTTAAGTGAATGACTGCAGTTGTTAGTAACATAGTTGTTAAGTGAATCTGCATTCCCCATTGGCGTTGCTTGTCAGAGGATTACAAAAGGTGACCACATAATCCGGGACCCTGCAACTGTCATAAATATGAGTCAGTTGCCAAGCATCTGAATTTTGAACACATGCCCACCAGGATGCTGCAATGGTTGTAACTGTGAAAAATGGTCATAAGTCACTTTTTTCAATGTCATTGTAACTTCGAATGGTCACTAAACAAACTATTGTAAGTCGAGAACTACTTGTGATGCACTCATAATACTGCCTCTTGGAAAATCCTGGACACTCTCCCCCCCCCCGCCGCCTTTAGTTACTCATATGTAAAGTGATTTTCTACATTGATCATAATTTCACAATAATAACAGCCAACTATGCAATAAAATACTACAACGAACAACAAACTAATTAACAACTCAATTTAAAATATAATACAGGTATTACTAAAATTGCGTGGCAAAGGGAAAACATCAGCTTCCGTTGAGTAAAACACAGCAGCAGCACATGAATGTCTGCAGACTCTGTGCCTGCTGAGCATATAAAACAAATGACAATTCATAACACGGTGTGTGGCCTCTCTGATAGTAATAGCCTAGGCAGTTTATGGTTTCAAAGATTAAGGATAACAACTTCTATTCAGACCTGGAAACAGGTGTCGGCCAGAGCAGGAATTTCATGGTATGATATGATCACAGGTAGCAACTTGCATTGATTAAAACCTATTGGTAGTCTTCATGGGCAACACATTTCTGAGCATATTGCAGCATTCTAGACAAGATGAAATCAAGGCTTGGGTAACTCTTGCCAGCCCGCAGAGACGCTTGTTTAGTTTTACATGATTTTTCTTTTCGGTTTTGAGTCTGTTCTTTTTTTTTAAATTTTACACTGATAACTCTATTCACCTACCTTGATTTTAAAGTCAGTATTTAAAATAGAGTATCCCAATTCAGATAGCACAGGAAAGATATTTAAGAATATGTTACGTATTTCTCAAAGCTCAACATGGAAAAGAAAATTTCAAATCGTATCAGAACAGGTGGATAAAATGTTTGATTTCAGTACAGTATTAAACATTGGTTCACTGGCCAAGGTAATCACATGTGAGCATTCTTGTCTTTCTACAAGCATCTTTTTATAATGCAAGGGTCCCCAACTCCCGGGCTATGAGCCAGTACCAGGCTGCAGCCCATTCGGAACCAGGCCACAGAAGTGGCAGGTGCCCAGCTCCATTTGTGCAAGTGATGGAGCCTTGTACCTGCCGCTTGTGCAAATGGAGTTGCATGTGCTTGCCTGTCGCTCACGCGGAACCATCCCCTCCCCTCTGCTGGTCCACAAAGCTGGAAAGGTTGGGGAACTCTGCTATATGTAAATGTATGTGCAAGGTGGATTTTAGCTTTCCGTCTGTGAACTGATTCATATGTAACACTCTTCTATGTTGTCTGTATATATTTTTTTAATCTAGATCATCATTTGTGGAAGACAAATTGTATGTAGTTACCTATCTGAAAGCATTGAATTGAAAGTTGTTCAACATTATATTGGGCACGATGGACAGGCTGTTGTGAAAGAACACTTTGATTGCCTTGAACCCAAGCAGAAACTACCATCGTATGTTCTAGAAAATAATGAGTTGACAGAATTGAGTGTAAAAGCTAAAGGGGATGAAGATTGGTCAAGAGATGTGTCACTTGAGTCAAAGCTGACAGAATATAGCACAGTCATCCAGGTATGGAAACAAATATTGGGGGAGAGGGAGGGTAGCATTGAAAGAGTCAAATTGAGAATCAAATTGCTTAATGTTTCCTTCTTTCTCTCCCCATAAATATCCCAATCCAAATGAGTTAATTCCTATATATGTTTTTTTTTAAATCCTATTTACTTGCTAATAGTGTGCCTGCTGCCATTTCCAGTCTGAACACAAATAGAGATAGCCTCAGGAAAGCTATGTTGCAAATAAAGACAAAATAATTCTTTTTCTTAGTGAAGAAAATAAAATGCTAATAGGCAACAGAGGAAAGTTAGAGCAAATTAACTCTTCTTGTTGCTTAGTCTTTTCCAACTGGTTGTTGTGTTACCTCAGGCAATTGTGAATTAAAGGCACTAGACTGAAACTTGAGATTGACAGAAATTTTGTCAAGGAATATCCTACTTTCAGTTAGTTTAAATCTTCAGAGCTAAAGGGTCTTGATGATATTTGGCAATTTTTTTAATGTATTGTCTTTGAGAAATCCTAAAGAACTGTTGAAATGCCACATAATTGGAAGAATTGTGCTATTCTTGCATTAAAAATGATCAAGTACTATCCCTATTATCAAAAAGGGTGAAAAAAGAATCCAAAGAATTACAAACTAATCCATCTGTGACGTTTATACCTGCAAAGATTATACAACAGATAATAAATCTTTAAGGAATTTGAAACAATGTGGAGCATGGACTATCAAGAACCATTTTTAACCTAGACAAATGAACTGACAAAAATGAACAATTGTAACAGAAACCAATATAAGTTTATTTGTTTAGGAAACAGAAATTAAATATCTGGATATAGAATGAGACATATTTGGCTTGGTAACAGAAAAAAGATATTTAAACAATAACTGATTAAAAATAATAATTGATTATAAATTAAATATGAATTGTCAATGCATTGCAACTGGAAAAAAAAGAAAGGTTCGCCTCTATTAGAAGTGTTGGAGCCAAAACTAAAGCGATATCAGCCACAGATGCTTTAGTTTAGAGTCCTGAACTCGGCAAAGGCTTGCAGTTGAAGGCCTAAATAGCCCCTTCCATTTCCCTAATGTTAGTTGGACTCTAAACAGGCATTCTTTACAAATAACAATTTGTATGTCTGCTTTCTGCTTTGCAGTCTGTTTGGTTGTGGTTATTTATATTAACCTCTATAAATATATTTTCCTTCACTGCAGGTGCCATCATCAAATAGTTCTATTATTTATGTATGGTGCATGGTTTTGATGTTAGAGGCACAGACACAAGTCCAGCAACGAATTGTGAGTACCTTCCCCCTTGTACAAATTGATCTTACTCTTCCTGTTCTGAATAGGGTCAGTTTGACCCTAAAACAGAGATTTATTGACAGTTTGTTATAATGGAATGCTGAGTTGGAACACTGCATCCAATATTACTCTGCTCTTTTACTTTTGTAGATTGTTTTCAGTCCTCTTTTTATCATAAGGAGCCATCTTCCAGATCCCATCATCGTACATTTAGAGAAAAGAAACCTGGGTCTGAGTGAAATGCAGTTAATTCCTGGAAAAGGACAAGAAAAAACTCTGCAAAATATAGAACCAGATCTAATCCATCACTTAACCTTCCAAGCCAGGTAAAAAAAAAATCCTAAATATGTTAGATTTAAAAGTTACTTTTGTGTTCATACAAAATTTAATTAGCATTATCCCAATTTCATATAAGTAATGGAAATTTGGTGTAGTAGTTCCCAACTGTTTGCTTTATAAGGATCACCAAATTGTTATTGGAAACTTTTCAGACCCTAATATAAACTAAAGGTTGACAGTACCATACTTTCCACTCCCCCAACCAGTACCCACAGGACTCTAAAATTAAATAAAAATAATAATATAGAAAGATATAATGCCCAGAATTTTACACAGATTACCAAATCTGATCAAATATCAATGTTCTCACCAAAGTCCTGTGGGATTTCAGTCTCCTTGACAAAATATAACAAAATCTAGCAATTTCATGCAATCTTTTTTTAAAAAAATATTTTAATTTTATTTTGGAGCGTGAAGCACAGATCTCATTTATTTTCTAGAATCACCACAAATTAGAAACAACTGCTTAGAGCAGTCTAAGGTTTTGGACTGATGAAGACCCAAGCAACCATTGGATAAAAAAATCCAGAGTTGTAGACTTCCCCTTTACCCAAAAGACGTCAACCTACTCTTCAGTGTAATATGAGGCTATGAGCAAAATAACTCAGAAAATCTCCATCTTAATCTGCATGTATAAATATTATTTCTCATCGGCATATCGTTTCCTCCCAAAATTCAGTATTTTAATATTTTATTCACATGGTTTTATATTTAATCAATTAATTTTAAATATTAATTTTTTTAATATTATGCTATTTGTATTTATAACGTTTTATAGCATGAACCATTTTATTTCCAGCTAGAATGTGGCTGTATTTGAGTTTTCTAATTTTTTTTGCAGATATTGAATAAAGTGCTAGGTCAGTGATTATAATAATGACACTACTATTTTCATCTTAATAAATTTGTTAAGGAAGACCCTTGGGATTTTCATGTTTGGAAAAATAGTTTAGAACTCAGGTAGCCGCCAAAGGTTTGACAGTGGCTTTCTTAATAAATTCATGCAATGAATACCACATCTTTTGTATTTTTTTTTTATGCATATGGCAGGGAAGAAGATAATCCCTCAGAATGTGCAGTGCCTATCTCAACAGCACTTATTAAACAGATAGCCACCAAATTGAATATAAATGGCACCATACATGAAATACTCAATGATTTTTATGGGTGCAGCAGCTTGCCTCAATCTGTCTGGCCTTACATAAGGAAGGATTTTGCCAGGTATTATTCCTTTTTATTATTTCTTTTTGGAGTTATTCTATTTGCAATGGCAAAAATATCTTTGCAAGTGACACATGATCTTCAAATATCTCACATTTAAGAACTTTATATAATTCAGATTAATTTTCTTTCCTAAAGAAGGGGAGGGAATGAATGTGCCTTCGATGTTAAATGTCCCATCTCTCTCACTCGCATGTCTAGAACAGAGATGAGAAAGGTCTCTTTCCAAAATGCTAAAATGTCTCTTCCATTCACAATCCAGACTACTCTCTCTCTCTTGCTTCACCAAAGTGACTGCGGTTGCTCCAAAAAGACATATTGAATACATAATTTAATTCTAAGAAAGGTAGTCTTAAGGTCTAAAGGCAGACCAGACCAGAAACAGAATGCAGTATTTTTACCAGTAGATTTGCTTCACAGTCCTAATTCAGCAAATAATAGTAAACAGGTTACTTTGGTACCAATTCATCAATTATCATTGTATGAATGTAGTAATAATAACCAGAAATCATGAATGAATATATAAAAACTTCTACACATCAGGAGAAATAAAAAATAAAGTTAAATCAGACAAAAGGTGCTTGTAAACTTAATATTTGTCTAGATAGACTTTTGGTTTGGTTTAGTTTGAGGTATTATTCATGTTTGTTTATTTCTAAAATGTCCAATAGGCAAAAAAAGAAACTGGCAGTTCAGTTCAACCATCTGTTTCATACTCTGTAATTGTGAGACAATTGAGGCTGCACATCCTTTCACATAGTACACAAAACAATCGTCTATCATCATCAGTGCCTGGGGGAAGTCAAAAAAGGCAAGATGTCAGTTGTGCCATCACAATCAAAGGCCTTCTTTTTTGTATGTGCTACAATATAACTCAGAGGTACAAAGAGGCCATGAGAATGGTGATGCCACAACCCCATTTTGATATACACACCTGGGGTGTATCATAGATGTGGTGGGACATTTAAAAAGTGGGACAGGGTAGATATTACTATTGGACTGGCAGATTGCAAGGCATCCAGCAGCAACCTAAGGATGTCTGGTGATAACCACAGCCCTTTCTGCATAGAAGTAATCCTTGACTTATGACCAAAATTGACACCAAAATTTATGAGGCTAAATGAGAAATTTGTTAAGCGAGTTTTGCCCCGTTTTACGACTTTTCTTGCCACAGTCATTAAGTGAGTCATTGCCATTGTTAAGTTAGTAACACAGTTGTTAAGTGAACCTGGCTTTGCTTATCAGAAGGTCGCAGAAGGTGATCACATAACCCCAGGACACTGCAAGCATCATAAATATGAACCAGTTGCCAAGCTTCTGAATTTTGATCACGTGACCCTGGGAGTGCTGCAGCGGTTTCAGTCATAAGTCTTTTCAGTGCCTTTGTAACTTTGAACAGTCACTAAGTGAACTGTTGTAAGTTGAGGACTACTTTTACTTCTTTAAGTTCTACAGTTTTCAGAGATGATTAGGAAAATTATGTAACTGGAGCCATGTCTTTCTTTAAAAAAAATAAGTAAATGAGGATAGATATATTTGCCATTAGGCTCTATGTAAATGTACATAGAGGATCTGTAGGATCTATATTAATCCTACAAATAAGTAGTTGGAATATCAAGAGGATTTACTTGAACCCATACATATTTCGGTATCTATTCAGCATTTCCCTCCTAACTAGGAGATCCTAATCTTTTCCTTTTGTAACTTTCCAACCTAAACTGCATTCCAGGGCAGAGGGTAATTTTTCACATGGCAACATAGGGGTAGGAGGAAGATGAAGTGTAATATTTATTTTAAAAAAAAACAGCAGTCATATATGCAGAAAACATATGTACCATTTCAAGAATAAGAAACTGGCCAAGAGTCTCATTGCCAGGTGTTGTCCAGGAAAATCTTTAATTCAATTACTTCAGAAATCTCAGTTGCTTTTTGATCTTTGAATAAAGGCCTATTTCAATTAAGGCAGAGAACCTAAATCAGGGACAGGTTTGTCTTGATTGTCTTTCAGAATCATACCTGCTGTCAGGAGCACTACAGGGTAACCAAGGCTTTATGAATGGCTAGGATGATAAACTGCAATTTTTATCAATGAATTAACCATTTTCTTTTATCTCCCTTTTGATATGTTCCTTGGAACAGCAGTGAACAGCTCACTCAGTGGGATAGCCCAATGCGCGTGAAGCTATCGGTGTGGAAGCCATGTGTGAAAACGCTGCTGATAGAACTCCTGCCGTGGGCTCTGCTGATTAATCAGTCCAAGTGGGATCTTTGGCTATTTGAAGGAGAAAGGATTGTTCTGCAGATTCCCACTGGGAAAACAATGATACCGCCAAACTTCCAGGCAGGCTTTCCATTGAAATATATATATGTTATCTTCTTGGAAATGTTTCCTTTTCATTTCATGAGGATGGGACATATCAAATCAACGGTCACAAGATCTTGCTGAACCATGACATTTATTTATTTATTTTATTTATTTTATTAAATTTATATCCCGCCCTTCTCCTTGCGGACTCAGGGCGGCTAACAATCGGGTAAAAATACACAAATAACATTACAAGTTTAAAAATTAGTTAAAAAGGAAATATTTAAATTTGATCTAATTAAAATATAATTAAAACCCCCTCTAAAAGTTTCCCCTAGGCCAGTCCCGCAAGCTGGAATAAC